ATGCAATCAGCTGGTTTTCCTTAGATAGAAAACTTTGAATCAATCTGACTGGATGATCTGGTTGATCTGGATCTATAAAGTGGCCTAAGAAGACATTATGTGAATTGGAGCTATAGAAATAAACTGAATAGAATGATGATGTTTAATCAGATTTTTATTGTGAAAATGAGTCATGATGAGTTCTGCTTAACTTTTTCTTTTTGCTAAAATTAACGAACATGAATTTAAATACATTTTCAGAAGTACTGTGTTATCACTTTCCACTCCATAAATCAACCAGTGGTGCGTTTGGCTTTTAATAAACGGGTTGATTACTTGATTAGTTCAGTTTTTCTTTTTTTGTTTTACTTTAATAAATGCACACTGCAAAAAACTGAAATCTAAGTCATTTTTTTCTTAAAGTGCATTTTGTCTTGAATTAAGGAGATAAGTGAAACACTTTGCAAACGGAACAAGACAATTTACCTTTAAAATAAGAAAAAAATAATTGCATTGGCTTATTAAAATTGCATTTTATCTAATTATATTATTCTAAGAGTAAAAATACTCATTCTATTAGCAGATCATCCCATTAACCTACTAAAATTAGGGATAAATACACTTGATTTAAGAAATTTTTATGCATTTCTAGATCATTTTTGCAGTAAAACAATCATAACCATTTAAAAAAGACAAAAAAAAATGTTTTTCCCTTGAATTTTCTTGAGTCATTGTGACTTTAAATAAGAAACTAATTTCCTTCTTTTTCATCCTGTCACGGTTTCAGGAAAATGAACACAGGATGAGTCACATCCAGATTACAGGAATTCATCACAAGTAACCCTAACCCTTTACTTACATTAATCTCTCCTCAACGAACATTTAAAAACAAAAGAGAAATGATAAATAATTGTTTTATTACAGGACTTTAACATAACTTTCAGGAAATATGTTAAAAGGGCTAAAAACCCGCCTCCTTCTTTTCAGTGCTGGTATCTGACCGACGTGTCTCAGCATGTCAGAGGTCCTAAAGAGGAAGGTAGCTCAGAAAACCCTGGAAAATTTATCAAACGGAGGCGAACATTTACTCTGCAAAGCAGTTACACTGCAAAAACAAGCTAGAAATAAGTAAACATTTCTTAAATTAAGTACATTCACCCTTAATTTGAGTAAGTAAATAAGATAATTTGCCAATGGAATGAGTATTTTTACTCTTTAATTAAGATAATTATATGATATGCACTTGAAATAACACAATGCAATTTTTTTTTTTACTTATTTTAAATCTAACTTGTCTTGTTCCAATGTCACTTACCTCCTCAATTCAAGAACAAATCCACTTATTCTAAGAAAAGCTGACTTATTTAGATATATTTTTTGCAGTGTAGTCAAACATGACAGTAAATCCACAGAAGCGGTTTAAATATTTTACAAACTTTGCCTTTTTTTGTATAACATCCTCATTGCAGTGAATTTGGTTGAGAGTTGTGAAAAGAGCCTGACAGGTGAAACCTTACCTGGCAGCTGAAGGAGGGAATCGTAGACTTTACACTGAATCTGCCCGGTGCTCTGCCATGCACAGGTTTTCCACAGACCCTCATACAGAGCCTGGGCTGTGATGATGTTGTCCCCCGCGTGCGACGAAGCTTTCCACTCCACCAGGATGGTGGAAGCGATGGTTCCAATCAGGCCGAGGAAGGCCAGCGTGAAACCCAGCAGCTGAACTCCAGCATTTGCCATTTTTTTTATAGCGATGAGACGGATTTTTAAGATCTTGCTTTGCTGTTTCTTCCACCAGTGGATTTTCTCCTTCACAAAGAGAAGGTGTGCTGCTGTGCATCCCTTTGGGCGAACCTGGAGAAGAAGGGAGGATCCAGGAATTTCATCCTGTGAAGAAAAAGGGTGACACTGTGTGGACCTGAGGGTTCAATGCAAGGCCCAGAGTTCCCACTACATTCCCTACAGAGACAGAAAAATGATGGAGGGAAGTTTTCCATTACAGTTACAGAAAAAACACATTTAGTTTCCAATCCACATTAATTATATAGCAAATTTAAGATAAAAATGATTTGACCTTAGATAAAAGCCTGAGATGATATAAACACCATTATTTTGTTTATGAAAAAATATATATATTTTTAAATACATTCCAGAAATTAAACTGTTATGATCAAACACAGGTTATGAGAGTAACTTTGCTGTTTTCTATGTTAAATCAATTTATTCATTTTTTTTATTAATTTGTATTTTTGCAAAAAAATCTCTATTCTCCCACTCTGCAGAATCTGTTAGTTCAATCTCTAACGTTCTGCTCTCTCTGCTTTTTCTCATAGTAGCTTCATCTGGTCTG